CTGTTAGATTCTCCAGGTACGTACGATGTTTGTTGCCTGTGCTCCTGCCTCAAGGCACTGCCTTTAGGCATTCAGAGGGGTTAAAAGAGAAATGTGGAAATGCGTGCCTGAAAATGTACCACTCCTCTGGGCATCAGAAAAGAAGTTAAACTCATGCAACAATATGGAAATGTATTAACAAAGCGATTCCGCTCATAGTGACTCACCTGTCCATTTCCAAGGCTGTAACTCTTTATAGTAGAGCCTCATCTTTCTCCATCGGAGGGGCTGGTGGTTTTGAACTGCTGACCTTGTGGTTTGCAACCCAATGCATAACCCACTAAGCCACAAGGGCTCCTTACAAAATGCTTAGTACAGATTCATAACCTTAACACGTGACGAGCCCGAGCCAGAACCCAAAGGCCACACAGGGCGATGAGTGGGAGAAAGACAGACACAGGAGAGAAGAAATAAAACGAACCGAATGTTCACCACCACAGGTACTTTAGATGCTGTGAGTGGAAGCCAGGAGAAAACGATGATGCTCTTTGTTTTATTTTAATTTTTTTTAATTTTCCAGTTTTCAGACATTATGGATTTTTTAAATGAATCATTTATTGTGGGGGCTCTTTCGAATCTTATGACAATACTTCATGCGATGGTATGAAGCACACTGTCCATATGTTGCCATCAACATTTCCAAAACATCTTCTTTCTACTTGAGCCCTTGGCATCTTTTTGTCCTGACCTGCCCAATTAATGAAGATATTTAAACTAATCGTCATGCCGCCCGCTGCTGGGCTCGTGTGGACCGTGTATTCCTCCTCAAAGGCATTTACCAGCCTGAAGTGAGCCCAGCGACAGTGTGCGTTACACGACGTGTGCGTTACACGTCAGGCTGCTGACTGCAAGGTCCGAAGTTTGAACCCAGCAGCTGCTCCAAGGGAGAAAGGTGAGACTTTCTCCTCCCATACCAGGGGCTCAGCAGAAGGAAAACATTTGGGAAATGTTGATGGCAACACATGTACAAATGTGCTACAACTGATGTCTGCATTGCTATAAGAGCCCCCCAAAATGATTTATTAAAATTAAAAATAAAGTCATATTTGACAAGTTAAAAAAAAAAAGACAGTCTTGGGAACTCACAGGGCCAGTTCTGCCCTGTCCTAGGGGGACGCTGCCAGTCCGTCATCCACCAGACGGCAGAGGGAGTTGCTGCTGTGGGAGGGTTAGCATGCTCCTGAATGCCCCAGTAGGGGGTAGGAGCTGTTGTGACACAATTGTTAAGCATTCTGCTGCTAACTGACTGGTTGGCGGTTCAAGCCCACCAGCCGCTCCGTGGGAGGAAGATGAGGCTTCTGTGCCCACAGCCCCCATGGAAAACCCTCTGGGCAAGTTCTGCTCTCTCCTCCGGGGTCGCCGTGAGTCGGCGTGGGCTTGGCGGCTGTAGACAACAAAATCATCAGACCTTTCTCCCTCAGGGTCACTGGTGGGTGCCCACCCACATTGTCTGCTGGCAGTCAGGCACTTAGCCACCCCGCCCCCAGGGAGCCTCCCATCTCCTGCCACGTGGGGCCGAGATGAGCCCAGCGTTGACTTGACCACCCTGGGGGAGCTGGTCACTGCGGTAGTCTACACTAAGACCCCGCCGGTTCCGACCAAGGTGCAGAAGCACACACTGATGATTGCCACACGAGAGTCTCCATCCCCTTTGGCTTATCCATCAGAGTATTCCCACACAAGGAGCCCCAGGGGCATAGCAGTGATCCGTTAGGCTGCCATCACAAGGTCAGCAGTTCAAAACCACCAGGCACTCCTCGAGAGAAAGATGGGGCTCTCTACTCCCATAGAGAGTGACAGTCTCAGAAACCCACAGGGGCAGTGCTACCCTGTGCTATAGGGTCGCTGGGAGTCGGAATCCACTCAATAGCAATGAGTTTGGGTTTATTTTTTGCATTTACACACACAGCGGTGTGTGTTCCTGTAACACCCTGGCGTGCGTGTGGAAACCATTCATTTTTACATCGAGTGGGGAGATGCTTACGATGTAAGAGCTGAGTGGGAGAGAAGGGGAAACCGCGGGCAGTGTCAGTTTGTGGGGTGACACCATTTCTCGTGGAAACGCCCTGAACAACAAGGCGCAGGGAGGGCCCATGCCCTTGTTTGTGGGGTACAGAACCTGACACGGTGCAGGGAGGGCCCGTGCCCTTGTTTGTGGGGTTCAGAACCTGACAGGCTCGGGGAGGGCCCTTGCACGGGGCAGGGGGTTCAGAGTGGGTTTTCCTGCTGTTGCCGTTCTGCTTCACGTTTCTTGGCGCTCCCCGGGCCGGTTGGGTGGTTGGTTTTCGTGGTTCACAGTAAGCGCGTCTGACCAGAAGAGAAGTTAAAAGGAGGGATGCACGTGGCTTTGCAGGAAGAACTCCGCGGA